TAGGCCCCAGTCATTATACACTCAATTGGTCATTATATACACTCAATTGGTTTCCTGAAGTCTGGTTTGACCAGGTAAAAGAGTAATCCCCTGGGAAGTGCCCAGTTCACATCTCACCTCAACTACAAAGCCACCTCTTGGGCTTTGCAATATGGGAATTATAAAACTGACCTCCCTGACAGAACTTACAAGTCTTGGTGACAGTGTATTGTTATCATCGTGTTTCTATGTGGTCTTTCCTTCAGGAAGCTCAATGGCATTAGGCTGTGAAAAGGTGCCTGGCCCAAGGACAACTAGTGAGTTTTGTAGCTTCCTGAGGGCTTTGAACTTGGGTCTCCCAGCACTATTAACGATGACACCACCATGGCTCTTTGTGAAATGCTTTGGGCACTGATATGTGCCCAATAACTGCTAAGTATTATTATTGTTCATTTCAAATGACAGGTCCATTTCCATTCCACTCCAGCTGTAAACTGAAGGTTGCTCAGGGAGAGTAGGGTGGCTTCAAAGGTTAAGGTACTACAAGATTCTATGTTCAATCTTCAACATCTGCCATTCAAAGGATCAGGGAGCAGGTGATGTGAAAGGCGTCTGCCTGACACTCTGGAGGATTTTGTCCTGGCCTTCGAACTGAACTGAACACCCTAGAGAACCAAAGCCAGGCTACACGAACCATAGACTGATACAAATCCATATATTCTAATCTCTTGCTTGAGGGACATCAATGGCAACTGAGTGTATCACTTGTACCAAATAAGTCCCTCACATATCCCAAGCCAAAGGAAACATCATGCCAAAAGGCCAACTAGATGTTATGCTAAGATGACATCAGCAACCATCTCCCTACATGATATTCTGTCTTTCCCAAACTCCACTGCCCATCATTGGCTGCTGTTGAGGAGTGGGAAACACAAAGCACTGTGATGTCAGGGTACAGCTAAGTTCCACAAGCCATTGTTATAGAGGAAGACGGTGCAGCTAAATGCACAGTTGCTGTTTTCAACAGTAACTGCACGTCTTGATTCTTAAAAATCCAGGGTTCATTCTCACATTGGCAATCCTTTGAACACATTTTTGGCCACTTCTGAAAACTTGTGGATATGTGTTGTTGCTGTGATTAATATGAGAATCTGGGTCTGAGGAAGACCTGGTGTTGTAGCATCATCTTTGGCAGTGTCAGCTGCCTTGTAGCCAATTCTCTGTACTAATATGAAAACGTTTGCAGATTGGCAGGCACTGGTGTCATTTACACTACCAGATGGAGAGATAGGCGATATCTTTTATAATGGGGAAAGTGTTCTTTTCGCCACACAAGCTTGTACAGCACAGTTTCTGCTACTGTCCTGTTAACATATGAAGGGCAATCCTCATAACAGATCCCCATAGTGGGATTTGTTATCTCTAGAGGTTTTGTTTAGCTCACAGATCTCTCAATGAAAATAAGCATATTCCACTGATGGGATACATTTTCTTCTTTGGAATTAGTAGTGCATTGAGACACATCTCTTCATTTCCTTAACAAGGAGGGGTGGGAGGGAAATAAAGATAAAATAAGGCTTGGCACACGTTGCAAAAATTCCCAATTACATTCCTTGGGACATTCATGCCGCCAGGTTGCTTCTGAATGCCCTTCCCTGCAGTGTTTTCTGTTCCTGATGGATAGCATGCTAAATTACTTCTGAAACCTATCAGACATGCCCAAGAGCAAGCAGCCATAAAAGTTTGCCAAGAATTGAATATTTTTACCCAGCAACCCCTTAAGAAGGAAAACAGGCAATTCTCTCCTGTTTAAGATCACAAGATGTACAGCCTCCTTGGCTTTTAGCCCCATATAAAACCAATTAAAAACTTCTTGAGGCACAAATTGTAAGCTTGGCTGCAATGCCACAGTGTGAGGTACGATTCCCCAAGGAGACGAGGGAAAGTGCAAGATTCTCTTTGGTCTCTCCTGTCCCATTTTACTTGCTATGTACAAAGTCGCAATAGTCATGCTCAGCTGAATCACATAGTGCGCCTTTTGCTGAGGTGTACGACTGCAGAATACTGGAGTAGGGTCTGATTGGTTTTTGAATACAACATTATCTGCATGATGATAGCTAGGATGTCAGAGTGATGAGGGCAATGCCAACTGTCCTAGGGCATGGGATTTTAATGCTGGGGACCATTCAAACAGGCAATCCTCAACTCACACTCTCAAGTGATGCACAATCCAGCAAGAGGCAAACCATGTGATTTGGATGGTAATATAGTCTGGCTCTGAGCAAGGAGATATTTCCTACTATGTAACAGTGGCAGCTTAGAAATTCTCTCTCTCTTTCCCACTATGTGAGTTACAGCCAGCCAATGTAAGCAGGATTCCCTGTCCAGGGGATAAAGGGAACTTAAAGCAACCTACTGTTACGGATTTATATGCCACTATACCTAAGTACCTCTGCCTGTTTTGTCACAAAGCACAATGTGAAAAATGCTCCCATCAAGTTCTGTTAGAGGGGATCATTATCATAAAGTTTGAAATCTCATCTTCAGGTGGTATCTTCTGCTTGTTAAAAAAATGTGGCAGAAGTGGTTGGGTGGGTAAAGACATGATTTTAAATGGATTTGTTAGCTGATGAGTTTCTAATGAGACCTTTACAACTCTGTATTTCTACTTTGATTTATTTAACATTCAGACACCTCCTGCTGCTCTCTGTGTAAGCACCTCCAGAGCATGGTCACAGTGCGGCTCTGCTCCCCAGGACAGCTGCAAGCCAAGGATGGACTCTCAGCTACTAGGTTAACAGATGCGTCCGGTAAAAGGAGAAAATCTATCTCCAAATGACACTTTAGGGCCGGATATCTATACCCTTTCAGTAATTTTCCTGTCATACTTGCTTATGTTCAGGGTTTTCCGCTCCTTCCTCCTCCTGGAGTTATTACACTCAGCATGGCAATTTAAGCTCAGGTTATGAAACTCCAGCTGCCTTCTATTTGTTTCCATAAACTGGCTTGCATAAAGCAGACTGTAGAAAGCAGTTCATTCCAACAGCTACAAGAGCCCCAGCCAGAAATGATATAGGAGAAGTAAAACTGAGGTATTGCTACTACATCCTTCTGGGTTGGACTTACTTTCTAGAAAAGAGATGACAGAGGTTCAAGTCTTCCCGGAAATAAAATGGTGTGGCCTTGAAGGCTTCCCCTCTAACCTGTAGTTACTCAATGCCAACGTGGAAGATGCACTCTGTACTCAACCATGTATAGAGGACCTCAGTGAGAACTAGGCTAAGGTGGGGGGCCACTAGGGGGCGCATCGGAAGATGGCTGACAATAACATCTCTCCGACCCACACGAGGTAATTTGGAGGCTATGATGGGGGTAATTAGCCTCCTTACCCCCCCCCCAGGATGGTGGGGGGGACTGCCCTTGCCTGCTGTGCCCTACACCACCCCCGAATTTGTGGGGGTGGGGGCACTAGGCACAAAGCCCTCCTGTGGGATTCCGGCACTCCTGGATGCCGTCCCTGATCCGCGCCACTAGCTGCAAGAACTTCAAAAGAAACAATTTGGATGAAGCTAATTGCACATATTTCAAGGAAGGAGGGGGAGTAAAGACTGCTAACAGAAGAGATCTCTGATAAAACAAGACAAGAAATAAATCATGAGAAGATACGCCAAGATACTGTATGGCAAATGACTGATGGGGGAGGGGAAAAAAACTTTCCTTTCCTTCCTTATGTGATTAAACAAGAATCCCCTCCCCTCATGAGTCAGAAATGTCATTTTAAGGACTTAAGCTGTGGATTTAAGACTGTGTGGAGATAAACTTTCGAACCAAGGCATGTTTTGAGAAGAGCGTGGAATGTACAAGAGCTCTGGAATGAGCTATTGATCATGCTACATCTGTAGAGAGCTGTGGTCTCATGTAGGCTAGCAAGAGCCAAGTTGGCTCTGCTTCCTTGTGGAAGTGCCTATGCTGACTTAAAAGGCCTTTGTCAATCTTGTAGTCACTGATTTGTACGCTGCGGATACTACTCAGTTTTCCCACTTTCCTCAGACTTGGAGTGTTATAGCCTCACTCTGGGAAGGGTCAGATTGTACCTCCATTCCCTTTTTTGTACCTCGCACAGGGTAGTATGAGGGGCCAGATGCAGGGATCATGACACATATTACAAATAGATAAACAGATATTGCTACCATATAGAACCACATGCAAGTTTCATGGAGAAGCACAGTGATCTGGAATGGATCCTGGCTAATCCTGCCCATTCTGTCACCTTTCCTTCAATGCAAATCATTTTCAGCGACTGTGTTTTCACCCAGTATTAAAACACAAAATACTAAAACATAAAAGTTTGATCTAATAAAGAATGCAATTTACCTATTGAGCAATCCTAATCATTTTTACTTGAGAGTTCCCACAGTTTGCAGTGGACCTTACTCACTAGTAAGTAAGTATGTTTAGGATTGGAGTCTGAATTATTGGGGTGCACTTTACAACTGCAGTATTTGAAGGAACTGACCTATCCACATTTAATTAAAATAATATTATATTATTGAACATTTATTTACTTTCCTTGACTGGGCTTTCTAAGGCTCTGTTTTGTAAATACACCAGGTAGCTGCTCCTCTTATCTGGCCCTTGCCTTAATACAAAAATATTCCGATGGCATGTAACAAATACATATAACAGGCATTTTTTCATTCAGAAGCACTTCAATGATATAAAAAAGATAAAATTATAGTTGTTTTGAAAATATGTATGTTTTCAGTCCACAAAAAGCAGCAGCAGTACATTTGATAAAAACATACCCCCCTCTCCAAAAAACCCCTAACCTAAAAAAGTCTTTGTTAAAACCCCAGAACTGACAAGTTTCCATCCCTCTTGGTAAGGAGATTTGAAGGAAGAGATCCGCATTTGTATCTACCTTCTCCACTCCAGGCCTTTACTCCTCTCTATGAGACCCTGCATTCTGCTTCCAGTGATAATACCTGAAACATTGGCTGTTATTGGAACAGAAGCCTTACCTGTCCCCCTTTAGGCTGATATCTGATGTTCTCTGTTGACCCAATTTTGGACCTGACATTCTTGAGATCAGGGAGAGGCTGGTTAATGAGCCGTAGTTGCTTCGGGGTAGCTGGAGATTTTGGAGGTGTGCGTATGATGGCAACTTTCTTCTCAGTGGACACCAGAATACCGGATTTGGGAGTACCTGGTGTATGGGGGGTTCTGGGGTAGCTGGGGGTCCCAGGAGTGCCCGGGGTACGGGAGGAATAGCTAGGTGGTGTCCCAGGAGTTATGGCGGTGGAACCCGGTGTAGTTGGGGTTGATGTGCCACTCTTTCCTGTCCGGCTTCGAATAGGCTCTGATCCTGTATTGGGGAAAAATTAAACCATGTTGCTGATATTTTCATGGAGCAGAGGACATCTATCTTATATTTCATGAGGGCACCTTGCAGATTATTCACTCTGCCGTGTTTCTGAAGGCCATAAAGAAACGTGAGAATGAGCAATAACTTGCTAAATGATACGTGGAAAGAAGCTTACATTACACTTATACCAAAGACAGAGACTGAAAAGACCCAACTTAAGAACTATAGACCTATCTCATTATTAAATGTGGATTACAAAATTTTTGCAGACATTTTAGCAAAGAGATTGAAAAAAGTTTTGATGGAGGAGATTCATGGGGACCAAGCGGGCTTTCTTCCAAGAAGACACTTGTCAGATAATGTAAGGAATATAATTGACATTTTGGAAAAGTTGGAAGTGAATATAAACACTAAAGCAGTTATGATATTTGTGGACGCTGAGAAAGCCTTTGACAATATTTCTTGGAGCTTTATGATGAAGAACCTCCGGGGGATGGGGGTAGGTCAAGGGTTTGAAAATGGTATAGGTGCAATATACTCTGAACAGAAAGCAAAATTAATTGTAAATAATGTGGTTACAGAAGAGTTCAACATAGAAAAAGGGACACGTCAGGGGTGCCCTATCTCTCCACTACTTTTTATATCAGTCCTGGAGGTTCTGCTAAACATGATTAGAAGGGACCAGCTGGTTAAAGGGGTTCAGGTCAGAGCTAAACAATACAAATTGAGAGCTTTTGCAGATGACTTGGTACTTACATTACAAGAGCCAGAAGCTAGTACGAAAAGGGTTTTGGAACTAATTCAAGAGTTCGGTCAAGTGGCAGGATTTAAACTAAATAAGTTAAAAACTAAGGTATTGGAGAAAAATTTAACATCCTTTGAAAAAGAAAGATTTCAGAATGTGACAGGGTTAACTGTGGTCAAGAAAGTGAAATATCTGGGGATAAATATGACAGCTAAAAATGTGAACTTTTTTAGAGACAATTATGAAAAAACTTGGACAGAAGTGAAAAAAGACTTGGAAATTTGGTCAAATCTGAAGCTTTCCTTGTTGGGTAGAATTGCGGTCATAAAAATGAATGTATTGCCAAGAATGTTGTTTTTGTTTCAAACATTGCAAATATTGGACAAGATGGTTTCAAGAAGTGGCAGAAAGATATATCTAAATTTGTCTGGCAGGGCAAGAAGCCCAGAATAAAATTTAAGATCTTAACTGATGCAAAAGAAAGGGGGGGATTTGCCCTGCCAGACTTTAAATCTTATTATGAAGCGGCAGCTTTCTGCTGGCTAAAGGACTGGCCACTTCTTGAGAACACAGATATTCTAGACTTAGAAGGTTTCAACAATGTATTTGGGTGGCATGCATACTTGTGGTATGACAAGGTTAAAGCTCATAAGGGTTTTAAAAATCATATTGTCAGGAAAGCACTATTTAATGTCTGGATAAGATATAAAGACTTGCTAGAAAATAAAACCCCAAGGTGGTTGTCACCAATGGAAGCTAAAGCTGTCAAAAAGCTTAATATGGAGTCAAAATGGCCAAAATACTGGGAAATTCTGGAAAATGAAGGGGACAGATGGAAACTGCAGAGTTTTGAGAAATTAAAAGGGAAAGTGAGGGACTGGCTTCATTATCACCAAATAAATGAGGTGTTTAAGATGGACAGGAAAATTGGCTTTCAGGTGGAAAAATCAAAATTGGAGACTGAACTGTTAGAATCCAGTACTAAAAATTTGCCAAGAATGTATAACTTGCTGCTGAAATGGAATACACAAGATGAAACGGTTAAATCAACTATGATTAAATGGGCTCAGGACATTGGTCATAACATTATGTTTGCTGACTGGGAGAAGTTGTGGACCACCGGGATGAAATTTACGGCATGTAATGCCTTAAGAGAAAATATTATGAAAATGATCTATAGGTGGTATATGACCCCAGTGAAGCTTGCAAAGATTTACCATTTGCCTGATAATAAATGTTGGAAATGTAAGGAAAATGAAGGTACTTTTTTTCACCTCTGGTGAACGTGCCCAAAGATTAAGGCATTCTGGGAAATGATATATAATGAATTGAAAAAGGTATTTAAATATACCTTCCCTAAGAAACCAGAGGCCTTTCTCTTGGGTATAGTCGGCCAAGGGGTGTTAAAGAAGGATATGACATTCTTTATGTATGCAACAACGGCAGCAAGAATACTCATAGAATCATAGAATCATAGAATCATAGAGTTGGAAGAGACCACAAGGGCCATCGAGTCCAACCCCCTGCCAAGCAGGAAACACCATCAGAGCACTCCTGACATATGGTTGTCAAGCCTCTGCTTAAAGACCTCCAAAGAAGGAGACTCCACCACACTCCTTGGCAGCAAATTCCACTGTCAAACAGCTCTTACTGTCAGGAAGTTCTTCCTAATGTTTAGGTGGAATCTTCTTTCTTGTAGTTTGGATCCATTGCTCCGTGTCCGCTTCTCTGGAGCAGCAGAAAACAACCTTTCTCCCTCCTCTATGTGACATCCCTTTATATATTTGAACATGGCTATCATATCACCCCTTAACCTCCTCTTCTCCAGGCTAAACATGCCCAGCTCCCTTAGCCGTTCCTCATAAGGCATCGTTTCCAGGCCTTTGATCATTTTGGTTGCCCTCCTCTGGACACGTTCCAGTTTGTCAGTGTCCTTCTTGAATTGTGGTGCCCAGAACTGGACACAGTACTCCAGGTGAGGTCTGACCAGAGCAGAATACAGTGGCACTATTACTTCCCTTGATCTAGATGCTATACTCCTATTGATGCAGCCTAGAATTGCATTGGCTTTTTTAGCTGCCGCGTCACACTGTTGGCTCATGTCAAGTTTGTGGTCAACCAAGACTCCTAGATCCTTTTCACATGTACTGCTCTCAAGCCAGGTGTCCCCCATTTTGTATTTGTGCCTCTCATTTTTTTTGCCCAAGTGCAATACTTTACATTTCTCCCTGTTAAAATTCATCTTGTTTGTTTTTGCCCAGTTCTCTAAACTGTCAAGGTCGTTTTGAAGTGTGGTCCTGTCCTCTGGGGTGTTTGCCACCCCTCCCAGTTTGGTGTCATCTGCAAATTTGATCAGGATGCCCTTGAGTCCATCATCCAAGTCGTTGATAAAGATGTTGAATAAGACCGGGCCCAAGACAGAACCCTGTGGCACCCCACTAGTCACTCTTCTCCAGGATGAAGAGGAACCATTGATGAGCACCCTTTGGGTTCTGTCAGTCAGCCAGTTACAAATCCACTGAGTGGTAGCATAGTCAAGACCGCATTTTACCAGCTTCTTTACAAGAATATCATGGGGCACCTTGTCAAATGCCTTGCTGAAATCAAGGTAGGCTACATCCACTTGATTTCATCGCAAAGTACTGGAAGACACAAGATCTACCCACCGTGGAAGAATGGCAGATGAAGGTGATCGAATACATGGGTCTGGCAGAGATGACGAGCAGAATCCGAAACCAGGGAAGAGAAACAGCGGAAGAAGATTGGGAAAAATTTAAGGACTATTTAAAGAAATATTGTAAAATTAATGAATGTTAAAATGATGCTGGATTAGAAATTAAGTGGTTAACAGCGGTAATGGTCAAGTCAAAGAGAATAAGTAAGACTAAAATTAAGTTAAAATAAGGGAAGGATTTGCTGAATAATTGATTAGAAATTGGAATACAGAAAGGGGAGGTATGAGGAAGTCGGGGAGGTAAATTATAAGAAAATAAGATTTGAAATTGTACTTGTTTTGTTTGTTTGTTTGTTTGTTGTGTCTATTGTATTGTTTTGTTTTGTTTTTGTTGTTATAAAAATTATGGAAACTTTAATAAAAAAAATTATAAAAAAAAAACTTGCTAAATGAGAGCACTATGATATTCAAATCAGTTAATGTTCAAAGAAGGTACCGGTAATTTAAAACCAACAAGGTTAGAGATACTAAAATAATTATTGCATGGTTCGTAGATCACAGGCTTACGGAGAAATCTATTATAAAACAATACAGGTATTACAGCTGACCTGAACATTTTGCAGACCTATGGTACCATCCTGTGTGGGACTGCACCACCCCTGCTTGCCCATTTTTCCTAGCTTGCTTTACCTGCCTGCCTGCCTGCTTACCTACCCATTTCATTTCATCTATGGGTTTTGAATGTTTGTGTCATTTGTACTGATACTGTTTTAGTGATTTAGTTGTATTTGTATATTCTGGCTGGTAAATTCTACTGAATTCCCCCATTTTTTGTATTATTATTTAATATCATACAGATACAGTGGTACCTTGGTTCTCAAACGCCTTGGTACTAAAACAACTTGGAACTGAAAGAACACAAACCTGGAAGTAAGTCTTCAGGTTTGCAAACTTTTCTTGGAAGCTGAACGTGCTCTCTTTGAGTGCCACACTTCCGTTTTGAGTGTTAAGCTGAGTTCTGTCTGTTTTCGCTATTTATTTTGTGTTTTTGTTTTTGCGGCTCTTTTTTGTTTTGTTTTTGTGACTGTATGGAACCCAGTTCAGCTGCTGATAGATTGACTGATTGATTGATTATGTGACTGCAGTACATTGTTTATTGCTTTCATTTTATGGATTAATGGTCTCGTTAGATAGTAAAATTCATGTAAAATTGCTGTTTTAGGGGTTGTTTTTAAAACGGATTAATCCATTTTGCATTATTTTCTATGGGAAAGCTTGCCTTGGTTTTGGAGTGCTTTGGTTTTGGAACGGATTTCCGGAATGGATTAAGTTTGAGATCACCTTACCTCACATGTGCCTACTCAACCACTTTGATCAATGGAATTTGCACGACTACAGGTGCCACATAGTACTCTGCACAGAATTTTGCTTGATGGTTGCCATTAATTTGATTTTAATTTGATTTAATTAATTTTATAATGAATGTTTTTAGAATGTCGGACTATTTTGATTGTTGTTAGCCGCCCTGAGCCCAGCTTCGGCTGGGGAGGGCGGGATATAAATAAAATTTATTATTATTATTATTGTTCAGCACCTGTAAGACCTCGATCATTTAGTGCAGCAGCACCTGCACTTTGGAACTCCCTGCCTATTGAGATCAAGCAGACGCCTTCACTGTACTATTTTGAGACCTATTCAAAACATTATTGCACAGACAAGCCCACCCAGGTTATTAGAAAGGGCTCACCCATGCTTCTACTTATCCAAGTGGTTTTCTCCTTGTCCCGCTCCTTCCCCAGGGAAAACCTGCTCTTTAGTGATAAATCGGAATAAACAACAATCTGGGGCGGAAACCTTCAGATTTCCCCTGCATAAAGCAGAGGTTGTGTGGATAAGCCCATAGTTGAGGTAATTTTAACCTGTTTTAGTATTTTAGTATTTTAACACTTCTATGTTTTAAAGTGTGGTTATAATTTTTTCTTGATTTTATGGTTTTATCTTTTTTTGTAAACCACTTTGAGGTTTTTTACAATTAAGTGGTGTATAAATTTTATGAAATAACTAAATAATATATTAATATATTTTTAAAGACTATCTACCTCTCTATCTCTCTATTCTTGCGAATTCAACAAGAATGTGGCCTAAGTAGATCTTAAACTCCTTACAAGGTTAACTTAATATCCTCAAAGGAATATAAATAAGAACCTAACTTCTTCTTAGAGTAGAGTCACTGAAATTAATTTGTTAGTCATAGCCATTCATTTCTATGGGTCTACTCTGACTAAAACTTGGTTGAAAATAAAGGATGTTTCCCCACTCTTCACTACTAAATAATCATTATACACGCACTAGTATTTACAAGGTTTCTAACAGCAGGACTGAACATTTTCTTTTGTCTTATTCTTACACCAATACACTACAAACATGCTCCAACTTTCAGTAAACAATTGTCTAATCTCCCTCCTTTTAATTATCTTAGTTAATTTAACCATATTTACTAACTCCCATGTCCTCATAATTCACTTGTCCAATGTGGGCATTCATTGTTGCTTTTCCAGGTTAAAACAAATTCTCTTATATGTATTATATTTGGTTGATGGGTGGCCTAGAAATGGAAATTAACAGGATGCTTTATCTGACTTACCAAAATCTGCTAGTAATGTAAAACACACAAATAATCTGTTGTGGGGGAAACGGAGGAAGCTATCAAAGCAATAAAACAGAGATGAAGAATTCTAGATTTTTTTGGGGGGGGGACTTGAGCTCCCATCAACCCCAGGCAGAGGAGCCAATGGTACAGGATGATGGGAGTAGTAGTTGGGCAATAGGTTATCCATCCTTGATACGAGATTGCTTGGATGGCAGTATGTAAGATATCCCTGCTTATGTACAAGCAGTACTTTGATTCCTGTGCCGCAGCAAGGTTTGTAGGTCTGTGTATTTTTCAATGAATCTTCACTTTAGTTAATGAGAGTAAATAGCACAGAAAAGGAAAAGGAATGTTTTTCTAAAGCTCCTTTGCTTAAGGCAACTGAACAACTTTACGAAACTGGATCTGTTTTAAAACATGTTGACCATAAATCTATTATGAGAGCAGAAATGCAAGTGAGTAAAGTAATGCCAATGTCATTTTAGCATGTATTTAGCAAGAGGCCAAGGGACGCAGGTGGCGCTGTGGGTTAAACCACAGAGCCTAGGGCTTGCCGATCAGAAGGTCGGCAGTTCAAATCCCCGCAACGGGGTGAGCTCCCGTTGCTCGGTCCCAGCTCCTGCCAACCTAGCAGTTTGAAAGCACGAAGTGCAAGTAGATAAATAGGTACCGCTCCAGCGGGAAGGAAAACAGTGTTTCCATGTGCTGCTCTGGTTTGCCAGAAGCGGCTTAGTAATGCTGGCCATGTGACCCGGAAGCTGTACACCAGCTCCCTTGGCCAATAAAGCGAGATGAGCGCTGCTACCCCAGAGTCAACTGCGACTGGACCTAATTGTCAGGGGTCCCTTTACCTTTAAGAAGAGGCTGCAAATTCAGTTACGCCAAGCTATGCAGCTCAATTCAGTGCACGTTTCCTAAAAAGCAAGTCCCACTTTGTGAAATGGAACTTCCAAGTCATTATTAACACTTAACAGGTATACCGTTGTACACCTGCAATCCCAAGCACATTCACCAGGAATAAACTAATGGCATTTACTTATTCAGATTTTCGCCTACTTTATCCTATGTTACCTCCTTAACTCACTTTATTCTCACAGCAATACAGAAAACCAATCTAGCATCTATTTCCAGGTCCATACACTATGGAGCAGTTGCAGCAACAGGGGTCTCCCCCCCTCCAACAGTTTATGTAGCTTTCCCTGACGGAATGCACACATGCAGATGGAGACTACGCCTGCGTGGAAACTTCCTCTGCTCACCCCCTTTCAATCTGCTTCTGGTTCTGGAACACAGTGGTGCAGGAGAGGGTGAAGCACCGGTCCTTCACTTGCCTGACCTGCCTCTTCCTCCTCTTCTCCCAACCCATCCTGTGCTCTACCCTCCAGTGCTGAAGCATCCCCTGCCTCTGATTCTTGCCTTCTGACTGGTACAGGTCCTCACAAGCCACTGCCTTCCAATCCCAAGTCAGACTCCAGCCCCCGTTCTCCCGGTGCACTCGCCAGCGTCCTGCCAGTCCCTGACATGATGGAAGGGACGGGATGGTGGATAGGTTGTAGGTGGTTCAGCATTAAGCTAAGGGGAGTTCTGGGGTGTTGGTGTAAATGAGTGGAGAGAACGTTCAGGAGAAATATTGTGTGTTAGGGAAACCAGGATGCTGAGCAAGATCTTCGGGGTAAGAGTAGAGGGGGATATGAGAGTGTGTAAATTGTATGTACAAAACTCTGGCGACCAGCATACATTTTTTCTGTTGTAATTTGTAAATAGTATAAGATGGTGTAGGGACGCGGGTGGCGCTGTGGGTAAAAGCCTCAGCGCCTGGGGTTTGCCGATCGAAAGGTCGGCGGTTCAAATCCCCGCGGCGGGGTGCGCTCCTGTTGCTCGGTCCCAGCGCCTGCCAACCTAGCAGTTCGAAAGCACCCCCAGGTGCAAGTAGATAAATAGGGACCGCTTACTGGCGGGAAGGTAAACGGCGTTTCCGTGTGCTGCGCTGGCTCGCCAGATGCAGCTTGTCACGCTGGCCACGTGACCCGGAAGTGTCTCCGGACAGCGCTGGCCCCCGGCCTCTTAAGTGAGATGGCCGCACAACCCTAGAGTCTGTCAAGACTGGCCTGTACGAGCAGGGGTACCTTTACCTATAAGATGGTGTATTATACTGTATCATTTTGATATGCACAGAGACCTCAAGAGATTCACACAAAGCGCACCTGCAGGCTAAAGAAAATGTGGAGGGGGAGTTAGAGGGTACAGAAACCTACTGGTGGTCCGTCGCATTGATGAAGAGATGGTGCTGTTCAGGGAGAAAGAATTTTCATCTCGTTCTCTGTCTCCTGACAGGCCCCTCCGGGTGGGCAGAATAGAGGAAGGTCTTGGTAAAGAGGAACGCTTTTCTGGACTCTTGGTTACACCGTCCTAGGAGAAACAATAGAAATTGCGTTTTTTTACTTTTAATTTTTTTTAAATGGGTAAAATGCAGTTGTTGTGATGACATTTAATTTTCCAGCAGTTTCTCCCCAGCAAGAGCTTCAAACTATGTTAAGGTAAGGAAGATCAGATCAAGCCTAGACAGATTAATTTCCAGCCCCCATGCACCTAGAGGTGAGATTATTGCCTCCAGAGGGGATCCAACATGGATTTAACTTTGCTTACAGCATACCAAAGTGAGATGATACAGGCAAAACTGAGTAATTTGGCAGGCTGGGGTAGGGGAGCATAGCTGATTTTAGTTTGGCTATGACTACACTAGTATCATAGAATCATAGAATCATAGAATCATAGAGTTGGAAGAGACCACAAGGGCCATCGAGTCCAACCCCCTGCCAAGCAGGAAACACCATCAGAGCACTCCTGACATATGGTTGTCAAGCCTCTGCAGCGAAAAGTCTGCAGCGAAAAGTCAAAAGGACACCCCCACCTGTAATATTTAGGCCTCATCCTATTGTAGTCTTATGGCAAAAAGCTTATTAGGTTTGTGAACTTTGGTTTGAACCAACTAACAGTTTTTAAGAGTGGTTAAAGTGGTATGACAGAGACATCACTGCCTTTTTGCGTGCATGCATTTCTTTGGCAACAGTTGCCCTTAATCAAAGGGTGCTTGCGTGTTTTTGAGAAAAAAAATGTTTTAAAATGTTTTAAAGTTTGCAAAACTTGCTTACCCAAGGCAATAATAACTGAACACACTACCTCCAGCACTGAAAAGTATAATGTTTCTCCAGCCTAAATTGGATTTATAATGGATGGATTCCTAGGGTTTTAATCAAACCCTGGGAAGGGAAACATTCCAGTTCAGGATAGGAGCTAATTATGGGTCCTGTAATAAGAAAGGCGATATCTGACAGTGTTTTTTCTTGAATTCAACAGGGGGAAGTTTGTTCTCTCCTGGTCTACAGCTCTTTTGTCAGTGTGAACTACTTGTGTTCAGGAGAAGGGCAAGGGGAAGAGAGTGTAAACAAACAGATCAGAATCCACCTCTGGCCCTTTCTTTGCTATCACTGACTACATTTACTCTGCTGCCTTACCTGAGCATCTGTTTTTGAATATGGCAAGCAGTCTCTTGGGCCTGCGGAAGAGGGCCTGGCAAAATAATTGTCTGCATCAAGCAAAGCTTTTTTAGTAGAAGTTAATGAGCAAGCTGAGCTGGGTCTTGGAGGAAGCAATGACTTTGCTCTAACCTTTGAGGCAGGAATCTTTGACAAAGAAGAAGTCTAGTCATGAGAAAACAAACAGAAGGAACACAACGTGAACATGGACAATGGTGTAAACAGAAAATGCATGCAATATGGAAAACAAACTGCAAAACAAAACTTCTTTTTAAAAAAATCACCATGTGTGCATATCCTAAGGTACACATGTATAAATGAGGCTGTTTTATTGCTTTTTAAAAAAAGTAATGTGATTGGGAATATTTTTCAGATTTCAAACATGATCTTTTACTGTTGTTCATAAGCATAAGATATGGTCAGGCCACTGGTTCATCTAAGGCTGTCCACTTTGCCAGGCAGTGGCTTTCCATGGCTTAGGATGGGATTATCTCAGCTCCGCTATCTGAGAGATCTCCAAGTGTCCTGATTTTCCAGGGACAGTCCTGGAATTACAAAAGCCACCCAAGCTTCTGATTTGATCTCAGAATGTCCCTATTTTCCCTGCTAGAGCATGCGCCAGCGCTTAATTTGAGCAATGGTGGTGGTGGTGGCAGAGAGGAAGCATCCCGTGGCCCCTCCTGAAAAGCAGGTGAGGAGGAGAAGAGGCTGCAGCCGCCAAGGCCCAGCCTCAGGTGACATGCCGGCTCTGGGGGGCAGGCAGAGGGCAGGGCTGCCCAGGGCAGGAAGAAAAAGGAAGCAGAGCAGAGTGCAAGGAGTCTTGATATGGGGGGGGGGGTCAAGGAGGGTCACTTGGGGGAGAGTGAGAACTGTCCCTATTTTCATCTGAGGAATGTTGGAAGGTATGTAAGAAGAGACTGTACCAAAGGCTGAAGTTGGGCATTCAAAGCAAATGCTCCACCTACTGGGCCACAGTCTTCCTCCAGGCCCAGGCTGATAAAAAACTTTATTACTAATGATTGTAACATTTAGTATCAAGTCTTATTGTTATCTTCAGGATGCCCAAATTGCTAGAAGCTGCATCAGAAATACGTGTGTGTGTGTGTGTGTGTGTGTTTTAAATATGGACAAGAAGTGACAACCTAACATACAAACCACTTTGGGAGTGGACACTGATTTTTAATATGTAAAAATGTAAATAAATGAAGTGTTTCTGCTTTTTAGTGCCAAAATGGATTAAATTTCATATTTTCTAGTTTAACTCAATTATGCTTTAGGCCTACTAAATAAAAGCTGATAAAATTTGAAAGAACTCCCTTGCCGCGGATGAAATGCTGATTAATTTTTAAAAACTTTTCGATTTTCCCATCAAAATTCCTACTAGGTATTATTTTCTTTATGTCAATGACAGAACACTTCTGTTGGTAGAAAACTGAAGATATTGGACAATGACGATGACAGAATTTGAGAATGTAAATGCAAAAACTGAAAATGTATACACATCTACAGATGAAATGACAAACACTAAAGACAAAGTCTTAAAGAAACAGCAGCAGCAAAACTGTTATCCACCACCAGAGTCATCAAGTAGAATCCCATTTCAGTTTTATGTATCTATATCTATATATAGACACCACTTTAAACATGCTGTGTTTTTGCAAATGCAAAACGCAGGTACAGCTCATTTCCTCATTGCTGCAAATGCAGAACGCAGGTCCAGCTCATTTCCACCCAGCCATCCACAGAAGAAGAGATGTGTATGCAGACATGTATGTACAATTTTTTAAAATCTGATCCCATTGAGATCCCCCATTATGAAATTTTGCAGGTAGCTTTTGAAATATTAAATAATCAATACATTTTTGGAATTTTTAAATCATACTAATTTTTAAAAAGATGGAGCCAGCTTGATTAAACATTAGGAAGAACTTCCTGACAGTAAGAGCTGTTCGACAGTGGAATTTGCTGCCAAGGAGTGTGGTGGAGTCTCCTTCTTTGGAGGTCTTTAAGCAGAGGCTTGACAACCATATGTCAGGAGTGCTCTGATGGTGTTTCCTGCTTGGCAGGGGGTTGGACTCGATGGCCCTTGTGGTCTCCTCCAACTCTATGATTCTATGATTTCTCCTGCTCTGGAGGGTAAGACTCAAACCAATGGATTCAAGTTACAAGAAAGGAGATTCCAACTAAACATAAGGAAGAACCTTCTGAAGGCAAGAACTGTTTGACAGTGGAACGGACTCCCTCAGAAGGTTGTGGACTCTCCTTCCTTGGAGGTTTTTAAGCAGAGGTTGGATGGTCATCTGTCAGGGATGTTTTAGCTGAGATTCCTGCATTGCAATGGGTTGGACTAGTTGAACCTTCCAACTCTATGATTCTATAGAAAGCCATATGATGTTTTCTGACCTGTTCGGGGAAGTTTTTAATGTGTGACATCTTAGTGTATTTTTGGTCTTTGTAGAAGCCGCCCAGAGTGGCTGGGGAAACCCAGCCAGATGGGCGGGGTACAAATAAATTATTATTATTATTATTATTATTATTATTATTATTATTATTATGAAGAAGAAGTGGCTTTGTTAAGCCTTCATAGCTAAGAGCGAAGGATGGGGCCTGCCCTCCACGACTTGATCCCCTTTCGGAGCAATTTAAGGCAAAGAGACTTTGTCCCCCTTTAGAGCCATGTAAGGCACCACAACATTTGGCAGCAATTCTGTACATTAATTATATGTTAATTATGCATTGTTAATTGGTACCTTGGCAGTCTCTGTGGTCCAAAAGCCCAATAATTTGTTTCAACATGACTGAACATGAGCATAATTTAATATGTTCTAGAAAGTTGTGACCTTTAAATAGGGTGACCAAAGTTTAGTTAAACACACACACACACACACACACACACACACACACAGGACCAAACCTTTAAAGGGGGCAGAGCAGCCATGTTTCTTTATTCACAGGTCTGTCCTATTTACACGCAAGGGAGAGATGGTGAGGTGGGCCTAATTTTTCTAACTAAAGGAGCATGTAGGACGGTCTGAATGTTGTCACTTCTGTCATCTTAGGTGGCTGATTCAGGCCACCCTCCTCTCCAGTCCAGCTCACCTCATGTCAGGCCAGGAGAAAAATGCCTGCAGTGGCAGCATAAGATGAAAGCGCGGAGGAGTTCAGCTTTTGGCAATCTGAACGCACCATTTGTTTTGTTTTGTGTGTATATATATATTCATATATATATATATATATATGAAGATGACGAGTGAGACCTCGTCGAAACGTCGCCTAGACACCCCAACTTTTACACGGGAAGACACCCGAGGACACCAAAACCTGCATTCCTGTACCCGTGAAAATCTACGAAAGCAAATATATATATATATATATATAATAAGACACCCCTCATTTATTTGAGAATGTACTTAGAAAAAGGGAAATATTTTTGCAGTGGTTGTTCCCCAAGATTTTTCCTCAGACAAAATAAAAGTTTATGCTAAAAATGGGCCAGAAATATCAGGGTTTTTAAATAAAACTTTGGGGACTCAGGGGAATTATATATATATATATTACTACTGAGATACTCGCGCACCTCAAAATAGAAGGGGTGACAACTACAGGTGATATCCAAGTAACTCATGCTCAGAGTAAACCCATTAAAATCAATAAACTTAAGTCAGTTGATTTCAATGGATACATTCTGAGTGTGACTAATGTTAGCTAACACCTCTATTTTTGGACAATGGAATTGCAAAGTGTATATTTTCTTTTAACAATTCAGCAAAATGACACAAGTGAGAACTTTCATTAACATTGCTCCATTGAGTCATCAATTTATCACAAATCTGGCTCTGGCTCTAAGCATTTAACAATATTGATTCTTAATGGAGTTCAGAAACTTTAAAACAACATATATAGGTACTTGTTAATTAGCAGCCTACATCCCATTTTCCAGTTGATTTTCATTGTGCAGAGAGATAAACATGTGAAGGGGGTGGGGTGACAACTGTCTGTACGGCACACTAGCGAAAGAAGCTATGATGTCCTTTTTTTACAGGAGTACCTATTTGCAAAACAGCAATGAAATAGCTCCCTGTTAGAATGGTGTACTTTGAATTACAGTTCTCTCTCACTCTATGGCTGTCAGCTGAATAAATGGATGAACTGCCACCCAGCTCAACCCCCCACAAGCAAACCCCATCCACTCTTTTGCATTGATTCCCTCACAGCCAAATACTACTTTCTCTCCCCTCATGATTTTTCCTCTCATTGTTCCTTTCTCTTTTCCTCCCTGCTGCCTATGAACATGCTATTACAACAGGGGAGAAAAAAAGGACAGGGGAGGTGGAAGGCTGTAGACAGGATGAGGTAGGAATCACAATGCGTGCTGGTTTCTTAGAAAGTAGCCAAAAATGTGTAGTGTATTCCATATATCTACAGTTCCTCCTTCTCTCCTTTCACGCTGTGGCCAGAGTTTTCAAACAGTTGAGAGGTATAAGTAGAGAGAGGGGAATGAGTCTTTCTTCATTTTCCCTTCTCTCTCCTTCAAACCTGCCTCATTTCAAGCTTTGCTACCTGAAATGCCTCTTCATGGGGGGGTGGGAGAGGCGATGAGGGAGGAAATAATGAGGGTTGGCAACCAGTAGCCAAGTGGCCACTCTGCCTGTTAAGGTTGCTGCACTAAGACCTTGGATAAAGTCCACTTGGTCCCTGGCCACGCAGGCATTTGAGGAGGATAGGTTGCTGATGCAACGCACTGTGACTAGGCAACCACACAATTCTTTCCACTGAAAACAATCACCTTGTGAAAGGGATGTGGACGCAAACTCGCAGTTCTACTGAACTCATGAGACTTGATCCAAGGATCAAGGATGTGTGACAATAGCTCCAATTGGTGAATGGGTACCTGCATTCCCATCCATACAAACAGATGGACAGGAAAGTGTATCATGCAGGGTTGTCCATGCACTTGCCCTTGTGACTCAGGAGGTCTGCACTTGTATACAACTAGGTCAGTAGTTCTAGCATGCATGTTAGCATGGTATACTGGTTTACATGCTTGGAAGCTCGAATGCTGCCTCTGTTATTTCACCTAGGCACTGAGAATATTCTGTTCTTTAGGGATGTAGGAACTGAGAGCACAATACGCTGCTGCCATGAAAGATACACCAGTGGAACTCCCCTGATACTGCCAAAACGGGGCAGAGCTGTGGGTGGAATATGGATGGCACACTGAAGGGAGCACATTTATGCTGTATCCTGCATTCCTTTGATACACAGCCATGCCCCAATAGTGTAAATTTACACCAGCCCTGACGTGGCAGCTCCAGACCTTGATTTTACCAGGACAAGAATAAGCTTTTAAAAAATGAGCAGCCCCTGCATAAATGGCTGTCCCCATGCCTCAGCCATGTCACCGTGATAGAGCACAGGATATTGTGTAAGTTAGCACAGGATATCCTTCATTTAAGATGACCACAATTCAGATGACAGGGTATGTGACATGGGGATACACCTCTCTGGATCTGAACCAGAGATCTCCAGTATATAAAGCATAAGCTCCTTCGACAATTGCTCTGCTCCTGGTGTCTATGACTGGGACTTGAAGCTAGGGAAATGTCATGTGCTGTTTCTGATTGCTGAAAAGAACTGCTTGGTGGTGCTTGCAGTCTTGGGGGCACCTCTCTTCTGCCACCAACATGGCATTTCCCCTACATGAATGTAAAGACTGAGTGAGGACATATCTTCCCCTTTCCTCTAGTGAGCCTTCAAATACCTGTCTCTTGCTTCCCAGTCTCATGCATGCCCTATGGAGCGAGCCACTGGAGATGGTTGCTGCTTCAGTGTGCATCTTGATCTATTGCAGCGGTTCTCAACCTGTGGGTCCCCAGATGTTGTTGGACTACAACTCAAAGCATCCCTGAGCTCTGGCCTTGCTAGCTAGGGGTGGTGTGAGTTCAGCAACATCTGGGGACCCACAGGCTGAGAAAGGCTGATCTGTCGGCTGCTTCTGGGTGCGACTTGCACCACTCTCCCAGGAGAGCTGTGCATGCTTTCTGAAGAACCCTTGAGCAGGAAGCTCTGTGGTAGCAGCACTGTGTGCTTTCTCCTTTCCTCCCCTTTCCATGTATTGAGCCCATGAGAAGTTTGAACCCGTCTGTAGGGATACCCAGGGACACACAGTGATGGGGCTGTTGCTGACTCTGCTGCTGGGGCTGAAGGAAATGGAGTGCTGTGACACTGATCTGTGGGATGTGTGTATGGTGATGCAGGGAATGTCCCCCATCTTAGTGAATTAAAGGATCCCTGTGTGTTTGAGTGGGACATGGGATCTTGTCCTTCATCAGTGTTTCCTGCTGCTTCTGAATTTTCTACTTATGTGTTTTCCCACTTTCCTCCCAGGTTGAGCAGTGAACGTGGTGGTGTATCTTCAGCTCAGTGTAAAGCTGGTATGGGATTGCTCTCATATAATGACCCTGGCAAACTGATTTCTGGGTCAAAGTAACTGAAACTGGGAATGCAGGGCTAGCCCACTTACCTGGGAGTAAGTCCAATTGAATTCAATGTGGCTTACTTTTGAGCAGACATACCGTATTTTTCACCCCATAGGGCGCACCGGCCCATAAGACGCACCTAGTTTTTTGGGGGGGGGAAATAAAGAATTTTTTTTATTCCCCCCCCCCCAAGGCGCTGGGCTGGGGCGGGGGAAGCCCGAGCTTCCCCCGACCCCAGCCCCCAGAACAGGCTGCTCTCCACAAGCCGTGGGAGCCCTCCTGCGGCTTGCACAGAGCTACCTGAAGCCCCGGGGCGACTGCTGAGCGCGCCGGGGTTCGGGATAAGAGGCAGCACTGCGCAAGCTGGTGGAGCCCTCCCCCGGCTTGCACAGAGCTACCAGAAGCCCCAGCGCGACTGCTGAGCGCGCCGGGGTTCGGGATAAGAGGCAGCGCTGCACAAGCCGGTGGAGCCCTCCCCTGGCTTGCGCAGCGCTGCCTCTTATCCCGAAGCCCTGGCGCGATGATCAGTCGCTTCGGGTAGCTTCCGGATAAGAGGCAGCGCTGCGCAAGCCGGGGGAGGGCTCCCGCGGCTTGCGCAGAGCTACCCGAAGTCCCGGCGCGACTGCTCAGCACGCTGGGACTTCAGGATAAGAGGCAGCGCTGCGCAAGCCGGGGGAGCCCTCCCGCGGCTTGCGCAGAGCTACACGAAGCCCCGGCACGACTGTTCAGTGTGCCGGGGCTTCGGGGTGCAGGCAGCGCTGCGCATGGGTGGGAGCCCGGGGGGAACTCCCGCGGGCTCCCACGGCTTGCGGATAGCTTCCTGAAGCCTGGAAAGCGAGAGGGGTCAGTGTGCACCGACCCCTCTCGCTCTCCAGGCTTCAGCGAAAGCCTGCATTCGCCCCATAGGACGCACACACATTTCCCCTTCATTTTTGGATGGGGAAAAGTGCGTCCTATAGGGCGAAAAATACGGTAGTTCAGGTTGCCCTTTAAATCAGATTTAAATGCAAGTACTTCCATTTAGGGGGAAAGTAAATTGGTCTCCTCCACACTGGTAGATGGAAGCCAATTGGTAAAGAATAGTGCAATTGAGGTTATTGTGGTTGTACCATATTAAGTGAATCGAAAATTAAATACATAGTTTAGTAGCTTAATATGTTGCCAATCTCCATTCTACAGTGTGTACCAATTAGGAAGTTTTAATAATATATGAGTAATTCTGAAAATCAATTGTCTTAAGACTGGCAAATGGTTCCTAAAAGATTTTCACCTGTCTTTCAGATATGACCATAAAACCATCTGGAATACAAAAATGAATGTGAAAACATGAATAAAAAAGAAAACAAGTCTACTCACTGAAAGTTTTTCCTTTGCTTGCTTAAACACCCCAGGACCTTGGTTTGTTTCGCCACCAGCAGCTATTAGGTACACAGAAAGAAAAAGACCCTTAATGGTAATTTCAAACTCACCCTTTACATATTCAGTTTGAATTGCCATGCAATATTAAGACACAAATGAATTCATTATTAGCAATAGCTAGTGCTAATTAAAAAAACAAATTCAAACTAGCAAATAAAAAAAAGGTTATCTGGTTTTCTCTGTCTTGGGCAAGGATGTAGGAAGCTTTCCAAGGTAACGTGAGTTCTGGATAATTTTGGAATCTTTTTCAGGCAATCAACAACCATAATATCATAGTATCTTTCTCTGACCTTTTGTGAACATGGGATGAGCAGGGAAACCCCTCTACTCAGATTTTAAAATAGACTCACATTATTTGATCATGATGAATCATAACCCTGGACCGGACCAAGGGCCCAGTTCAGAATCCACAGTTGGTACTTTGAAATCCAGTGTGTGAAATATATGCTTGTATAATGAAAAATCATTCCGCAAGGTCACTAAAATGATGATGAAGAGGGAGGAGCGAGCAAGATCATCTGCACTCCCCCCCTCCCCGTCCCCAAGTTTACTTCCTGGTATTTATAAAACATGCATAGAGCTTGAATGTGCTCTGCTATTTTGATCATCCGCTGATAACTGAGTTGTACACACATTGTTAATAACAGTAGCAGGTAGTGTAGTTTATGAAATGCTTGCTAAGGCAGCTGTTGGGCAAAAGGCATCTTTGAGTCTTCCATTTGTTAAACTATTTCAAATTTTAGTTGAGGCACCTATGGTTGATTCTTATTGGCCTAGGCAAATGTGGCAAGACTTGTTTGCCTACAGTTCCAATGGTTTGAACTCAAGTTTACTGCCAACATGACTACACTTTTCCTTTGATATGTGACCCTCACTTAAATAACATCCTACCTAAAGATAGATGATAATTTGTAACGGAGAGTATCAAAGCAGAAGACAAAGGAAAGAGTTTCAGTCAAACAATATCTGGCAGAGAATGTTCAGTACAAAATGCCTGTATAATTCCCCCCCTATAAATTCTGCTGCTGTTCACCTATCCCCATAACAGATACCTCTCCTTTTATTAGACTCCAATCATCCACTGCCAACCAATAATCCAATGCTCTGAAATGAGGGCAAAACACCTTTATTGCTGACTTACCTGAAAGCATAACAACTCCTCCATCTGAACAATGAACCTGGATCATGACTTCACCCTGTCCTTTGGAGTTTGGCTAACAGTTTAATCATGCAAGAAACATATTTACTCCTGGGGCATACACCATGAAATTTAAGGTGATTAAGACAAACCTAATACATGTTTGACCCAGTTCACATAGCCTGAGCTGATGCCCATTTGCCCTATGATATCAATGTTGTGATGTCACAAAGGAAGAACAGTCTTACATTTTCAACCAATCAAAGTGTGAAGTACAAATTACGACAATGTTTGGATGGTAGTGGTGACTTAAAATGCTTTCTAAAAGAATTCCTTTCTTTTCTTTTCCATTCTGGAAACAACTTTTCCATTCTGGAACAACTGCAGGTATACTTGATTTTATGAATTAGTTTCTTTTTCTAGAACCTAAGCTCTATTACCATTCTTAACGCCAATCCTTTGCATGTTTACACAGCAGAAAGTCCCACTGACAAATTTAATGGAACTTACATTCCATGTAAATATGTTCAAAATTACTACTATAGAAAAATATACCTGCTAGTGACCTTTGAATTTGCTTACCCATACAAGAAAAAGAGAATATGAGAAATGTTTTATAAAAAACTAAGAGCATTCTGAAGAACCCATGATTTGCAATTACCACTTCTTTCATCAAAATTCACAATTTTAAAACAAGGACATTAACAACATCAGCTCACAATCCTAGCATTTGAGAGACTTATCTTTTCCTGCTTAGAAATTAGCAACTGGAAAACTGGGTAAAATCCATCAGAAACAAATACAAGGCTGGCCTAATACAGTCTAATACAGCCTAATACAGTGGAATTTGCTGCCAAGGAGTGTGGTGGAATCTCCTTCTTTGGAGGTCTTTAAGCAGAGGCTCGACAACCATATGTCAGGAGTGCTCTGATGGTGTTTCCTGCTTGGCAGGGGGTTGGACTCGATAGCCCTTGTGGTCTCTTCCAACTCTATGATTCTATGAAATCATCTGCACTCTTTTCATGACTAAGAGAAGAGCACTGGCTACCAGCTTCCCAAGATCTCTAAGGCTATCATTACAGGGGGAAGCTTTCCCTGCATTTTCAGCTTTTTCTTTTAAAAAGCCTCTAAACCTTTTACTTATAGACCAAGTTCAGAAAGATGCACAAGCCACAGTTGGCCTTGAGACTGTCTGCTCCCTGTTCCCTTCCTCTTTTCCACTTCAGAATAGATAGAATGTTTTTGCGCCCAATTTTTAAACTAAGTTAATTACAGTTCCCTGTGACAACTGAACTTGGGGAACTACGGTTTGTTTAAACTCTAGTTAGAGAAAATAGGCCAGGATCTGAAAATCACTTTTAGATCCTGGTTTGCTGTCACAAACCATGCAGAAGGCACATTTCTTCAAGCTCAGCCATTATGGGGGTAGGGAACTGTGGATCGCAGCACCAATACCTACTTCTCTTTGCATTGATGATGGATTTCCACATGCGAGGACTAGATCATCTCTTAGACCTCTCATGTATTCTTTATATTGACAGCTGATCATTGCTCATGTGGAACAGAAAACTGAGGAGAGGCTTTCATATGACAAGTGAGCATTGTTGCCAACACACATGTGCATGCGTGCCAGCCATTGTTTGCTCAAAACTGCTCAACCAGTTGTTTTTCTCCTTGGGGACAGGGAGGGAAATTTTGAATTGACAGACAGCAGGTAAAAAATTCTCTCCCTCCCTTCCTGCACCTCTACTTAGCCTGAAGCCACCAACAGCTGTTTTTACCTAAGGAAAAAGTCAGGGAAATTAATCATAGAAATGTATACACTGGCTATATGTAGGGTCTCTACTAACATGGAGATTCCTGTAATTCCCACCTCTGGGTTTCTGAGGGTCTGCTGGAGTCAGAGAAAACGCAACTCACTTGGCAAAAGGCTGAATGTAGTTAAAGGCTACAACAAGCCATCTAGTTGCATTGTTAACATCACCATGTGGTGATCTTTTCAAGCAGAACCCAATAGTTATAGTAATTGCACATTTTTCTGTCTCAGAACCCTAATCCGGATAGTGGTTACTATATATTGCAGGGATTGGCTGGAAGTGGGGGGTCTTGAATCTGCTGAACTTGGATTCCAAAAAAGACTCACCTGATTTGAACAGTAGCTAACAGCCAGTATTGGATCATGGGCCCACTTCAGAACCTGCAGCCCTGTCAATTCCTTTATGATGGTCCAATGGATGGGCCCTACTTTCATTCCTCTAATTTTTTATTTTTACTTTTAAACTGAGATGATTTGATAACGTTCTTTCACCCTCAGGGGGAATTGTACAGAAAAACATAGTCTCCTCCATGTAAACATGTTTAAGAGGATTCCCCCCCCCCAAAAAATGTGTGTTACCATGCTGATTTTAAAAGTGTTCCCATTAAAGATCCACCCAGAAACAGGACGGGATGCACTTAGTTCCACCCGCATGCCCTACTGGCATGAACCTTACTTTAGTGGGTCCAACTGTGCCTAATGACTCATTTTGTGAATCAACATGCATAGACCACAAAATATTATGTAATACACTATGTGGATATATTTGCTGAATTACAGTTTTATTTGTGTAGTGGATGAGGAATAATCTGTACAGCTATTTTGAAAATGAAATATAGCCTCCTTTTGTAAAAAAAAAAACATAACTGAAAGGCCAACTTTCTCTCAATATAATTTGGGTTAATCTTTTTAAAAAGCTTTGCAGGTTTTGGTTACTACACGGCATTAAACTAAAGATACAGAGATCTAGTCTATTAACAAGAAGAGTTCTTATATTTGTAAGTTATTAAACGACACACCTATTTACAATTTTATATTCTAAGAAAATACTGAGTGGGAATATTTTTCCAGTGCTTGGGTGAGGGAAACATTTTTCCTGGAGTTAGTAGAATCATCTGATGAATTCTTTACATAAAAGTATTGAAAGAGAATGAGGATGCTTTTTATTCTTCTTCCCTTTGAAGGATAGGGATCAAATAATGTTAGTGTGTGAATGTGTGAAGAGGCAGAGCATGTGCATGATCCACTTAAGTTTCCGCACGCAGATCCAACTAAAATGGTGGGGTTGTGCAAATCCAATTCTTTTTCATTTCAGTGCAAATCACACAGCGCCGTTCCTTGTAGGTTTGTATCCATTCATGCTTCCACTCGCTGCCTGGAAAGTCCTGGAAAGCCCAAGTTTCTGTTCCTCCGAATGACAACAGAGAGATGCATAAACTGAAAGAATCCCCTATTTTCCCCTCCTGTATTGTCCAAGGTCCTCATAGCAGAAAAAGATGGAAAGTTATAGATTCATAGTCCTAGTGACTACAGATTTCTTCACTTTCCACTTCCTGGCAGAGCTCAATTCGCCCTGAAGGTTTTGTGTTTCAATACATAAAACTTTCAATATACAAAATACGTTAATAGATTTGAAACAGCTAATACATACAATATAAATACAAGCCGAGCAATGCTGAAATGCTTCTTATTATTATGCATGAGGAAAAAAAGGGATATAGATGAAAAAAATGTAAACCATGGTTTAAAGCCATTAGCACTTCCCACCAGAACAGAGCAAAATGGAGAAAGAGAAAATAAAACAGAACAAGGCAAAACAGAGAAATTTCTACAACACCACTGTCAAACCACAATGCCAAGAAACAACTACAGAACTTGGGAAATCCAAGCATGACAAGCATACATGATCATGGTCTCTGTTCAAACAAACAAACAAACAAACAAACAAACAAACAAATAAATGCATGATACAAAAAAGCAGTATCATTCATGACAGCAGAAAAAGGTCTCAGAAGGGGGAGTAAGAAAACTAAAATCAAAACCAGAGCAGCCAGTAGAGCAATGAGATTACAAATAATAATAACAATAGTAATGTCTATGTTTGCCAGCCACGTTGCATAAATTCAAGACAGCACAATCACCTGTCTGCTTCCGCTTAACACAGGAGAGATGAGTTGGTCTAGTATGTTTGATAGCAGGTTTTAAAATGATTTTCCTGGAGGGAGAGTGAGCCTGAACTTCAGCTTTTTTACAAAGTTCAGCTTTCTTATATACAGCTATAGACAAGAAAACAAGAGCATACAATCAGAAATAAAAAAAAACCAAGAAACCGAAATATATTTCAACATGACATTTTGGCTGTTGGTACCATGTTTTAGACCTTCAGTTAGAATGTGAGCCTACCAAGGCCCAGAGACGACTCGTAGTTGTTGCAGGCAACAACTGACCCTTCATTGGGTAGCAAGTGTCACTTTACCTGTCACCACACTCTGACCGTGCAAGCCAGGCACCTTCTGTACAAACTGCATAGAATGAGGGCATATTCCCACTCCAGCCTGCACACTCCTGCCATGTAGCATTGCAATTGTACTGGGCAGCTTCCAAGGCTATGTCTGGAAGGGTATGTGCTATGTTCCACTGGTGCAAACAATGGAGGTATTTTATTTTTTTAGTTAAGTGACAGATCTGCAGGATCTAGGCCTCACTTTGGCTTGGACAAAATGCTGGACATTAACCAGGGCTCAAAACCCAGTGGAGCCACAGATCTGACTGGTAAAAGGTAAAGGGACCCCTGACCGCTAGGTCCAGTCATGGACGACTCTGGGGTTGGTGCACTCATCTTGCTTTACTGGCCGAGGGAGCCGACATTTGTCCGCAGTTTTTCCAGGTCATGTGGCCAGCATGACTAAGCCACTTCTGGCGAACTAGAACAGCGCACGGAAACGCCGTTTAGCTTCCCGCCGGAGCGGTACCTATTTATCTACTTTCACTTTGACATGCTTTCGAACTGCTATGTGGGCAGGAGCTGAGAACGAGCAATGGAAGCTCACCCCGTCGCGGGGATTCGAACAGATGACCTTCTGATCGGCAAGCCCAAGAGGTTCAATGGTTTAGACCACAGCGCCACCTGCGCCCCTGACTGGTGCCCACTGACAATTCTCTGCCTCTTGCACATGGGGAATAATAGTGGGATATTTTACATACTAGATTCGGCAACTAAGCAGATGGAAATATTGCCACATGGCTACCCAGAGCACTAGCAAAGTCATGGTACATACGTGACTTTATGCTAGTATTATTTATTTGGTATTAATGAATCCAAGTAAGCAGAGCTGAATTCTCATACAGGATGTTTTCCTACTCCATAAAAGAAAGGAATCATCAGCCTAAACTGGGGTGGCTGGAAGCAATGTAGACTGAATGCCTTGCTGTTAACACAAATGAATATTCTTGATTAAATGTGTAACAGTACTGCTAAAATACTCCTATAAAACAGGTGAACAACTCACAGTATGGCATTATAGGAAAAAGATAGTATTACATGAACCTTTTTTCCTTCTCACTTCATCTCTGGAGACAGTGCTAGGTTCCTTTTTAGCTATTTTTCTTTCAGGAGTAGAAATCCTGCCTCTCCCAGTTTTTAAAGGTTTCTCTTTTTTATGTTTATCAAGAGACGGTCTCCGCAATTCTCTCTCTGCCTTCTCCTCTTTAGGAACAGTCTCTAACTGTTCCGTCATGATGCTCCTATCATCATCTGCAGGATCAGAGTAAATTATAACAAGAACAACAACAAAAAAACAGAATTAGTAAAATGTTAATAGTGCTTCAGTGGGATTTCATTTTTAAAAATCAGATTATTTCCTATTGTCATTATTTTAACAATATTCCTGAATGTGGTAATATTAATTATTATTAATTATTAATGAATAATGAATAATTTCAGAAACAAAAAAATGAAAAAAGGATAAGGCACACCTTGAGTATCCACCCATATGCTGTCTGTGTCCAGGATGGAGTCATCAATGGTTGTTTCATCTTTATAGTCATCATACGTCTCTGTCTTGTAATCAGTCAATGGGATTTCTTCTTGTTCAGGGGAGCCAGGAGCTTCCAGAGAGCTTTCTTTTGTCTCTGCTTCGACATCAGTCACCACCTCCACCTCCACTTCAGGATGGACGCTTTCTACTTCTGCATCAGCCGGTGGTGCTTCTGCAAAGCGCACACTGTGGGAGCTGGTTTCTCCCTCATCGACTGTGGTCTGCACTATTGTGATGAAGTCATCCTCAATTGTAACCACAGACTCTATTACTCCTTTGAGTTCAGGCATTTGCCCAGGGACAGCTTCACACACCTTAAGCTCTTCACCAGGTATCTCAAAGTCCCTTTCTTTGCTTCTTTGCCTCATCTCTCCTTCTTCCTGCTCAATCTCTTCTTTCTTAATCTCTTCCTCTTGCTTCCTCTTTTCTTCTTCTTGTCTACTCTCTACCTCACCTTCCTGCATGATCTTTTCCTTCTGCTGTTCTTGCTTAATTTCTTCTGCTTGCTCTAGTTTACTCTCTTCCTCATATTCTTCTTTTTGCTTACTCTCTTCCTCTTGTTCTTCTGCTTGTTTGATCTCTTCCTCTTGTTCTTCTTTTTGCTTACTCTCCTTCTCTTGTTCTTCTTCTTCCTGCAATGCCTCAGTTTTTACAGAGCCTTCCAATCCTAGAGATTCTACATTATCTTCCTTAGGCTGTGATATGTTCTCCATTTGAATTTCAGTTGTTTCGTCTTTGGTAGCTTTATATGCACCTCTTTCTGTAACTGGTTGTTCCACTGTCAATTGTGATGCCATCTCCTCTTCCAACAAAGAAGGGCTTTCTAGTTCTAATTTGTCATCATATGGTTTTAAAGTTTCTACAGGCAAGCCCTCTTGTGCTTGGTCATTATCACCACTTGACTCATATGATTCTTCTTTATCTACTGCTTCTTGGTGAACCAGGTCAGGCTTCGCTCCTTTCTCCTTAACTTCAGTTTCAGACAGTTTATTGGCATCTTTCATTTGAGCAGGTTCTGCTTTTGCAGAATCTTGGGGCAATGTTGAGAGGGTCTTTTCTTGACCCTCATCTGTGCCTTGCTCTGTAACAGGCTCAGTGACATGAACGCCTAACTTAGTCTGGTTTTCTTGCTCAACTTGCCGAGCAGCAGAATCCATCTCATGCTTTATAGCATCATAGTCTGGTTTATAGGAAATTTCTGCCTTGCCTGTCTCTTCAGCAATGTGAACAGCTTTTTTTTCTTTCTCAGATAATGAAGAACCTTTCAATTCCAGTCCAACTATATGTTTATCACCTGCATTTTCTAAAGTTGGAGCAGGCTTTGCTTTTTCATGTTCAGTGTCCTCATGAGAACAAACGTCTTTAGAGTCACTTTGTTCCTCGCTTTTTTCTAGCACAGTATCTAGTTTATCAATAGCTTTTCTCTCCTGCTCAAATTCTTTGCCTAAAACTGCTGATTCCCCAGAGGCCTCTCTTTCTTCTTTGGCTCTCTCAGCTGCTGCCAACTTCACTTCTATCAAAGAAAGGTCTGCAACGACACCTCGTCTAATTTTTTCATCAAAGGGACAGCTTTCCCCTGTCAAATTCTCACTGTCCTGTACTGGAGATGGCATTGGCACCGTGTACTTATTGAAAACACAGTAACCTAAATCTTCTAGTTGACTGTCAGCTTTTAGAGTCATATGGTTCTCGTCGGCCATGAGGAGCTGGGCCACTCCACTGTCCTCTACAACTGCTTCTGAAGGAACAGACTTCCTGTGGACTACCTCAGCATCTGCACTCACAGATGCTTCTCTTGACCTTGTGCCTGCTAAGTCCAACATTTCAGGTAAATCAGGCGCCATTACAGTCCCGTTTTTGTAATAATCTTTAGCCAGGAAGGGTGACTCACACAAAGGCTCCACTTGGATCTCTCCTCCTTGTTTTACTTTGGACTCTTCAGTTTTCTCATCTTCTTCCCTGCTCACTGATGGGAAGGAGGGAGACTTTTCTACTGCTGGAGTAGTGGCTGGCAAATAATCATCACCTTCATCGCCACTAGCATTATCCATAATATCCGAACCTAGTGGTGAAAGGTCATGTGTCCGCCCAAAGTTAAACCCCAGTGCTATAGAGTCCAAGCAGGACATGGGCAGATTAATTGACATACTCCTCTGCTCTATGGCAGATCTCCCACCAAGCCCCAAGCTCCTGCTTAGAGTTAAGTCATCTTTATTTTTACTGTGGAGTTCTCTCTTATCCCCATATACGTTTGGGTCAATGGTGTACATTCTTTCTGTAGGGGAACTAGGTTCCTCAGAATCATCTGGGAAGCCCTGGGCAAGGGTGCTGTATCCCATTTCATGAGCAGGTATGCTGGTGTGTTGATATGCCTCTGGCTGAAATTGCTCAGTGTCTTTCTTAGATATGATGAAATCTTTATGGTAAGGGTCGTAGGTCTCCTCTTTAGTATCACTCAGTTCATAGTAATCATTGCCTTGCTGTAGGATGTCACTCTTGAAAGCTTCATCTTTAAGGGTGGAAGTCTCAAAATATGTAGACATTCCTGATTTATCCTCCTCTACCTGCATTTTGTGAGCTTCTGAATCTGCAGCTGAGAACACTTCCCCTTTCTCATCCTTTCCTTGCAGAGATTCTTTGCTGGGTTCAGCAGTGGGTTTCTCTATTGCTGCAGACAATACAGCTTTATCAAAAGGCTCATTTACTTTTTCAGGAAGTAATTCTTGGCTGAGTCTTTCTGTAGAACTCTCTGTGCCATGCTTTTCCTCTTTTTTAATATCCCATGTTGATGAAACCTCAGTTTTCTCCAACTCTTCTTCTGCTTTGAGAGTACCAGATGGCTTTTTAGAATCAGCTCCTTCTACTTCTTTACCTAAAGCAGTTGTTTGTTGGTCATGAGCTTTTAAAAAATGATCATCTAATATCTTGGGCTTTTGTCCACTGGAAATGGAGTACCCCTCCTCGTCACTTTCATCCTCTGTCATATCTTTCTCTTCCTCCCAAAGAGGAACATTCTGGGTGGGCGTCTGCACTGTAATTTGTTTTGAGGCATGAGAAGTCAATACTTCAAATTCTTCTTCATGTTTTTTTCCTTGCTCTTTGTCAATTTTTCTATCTTTGGCAATCTCTGAAGCAGTAGATATTTGCATCATGTTTCTACTACCATGTGGCTCAGATTTATGTAGAGTAACTGGCAAAGTTTCAGAAGAAAACACAGTTTTAACTGTGCTTTTTTGGCCCACTGTAAATTCTGAAGATGAGAAACAACCTATGCTTTCATGAGAGGTAAAGTCACTTTTTATAGCATCAAACTGGCCATCTCTAGACCTGAAGGGTTGTGCTTCAGCGGCAGGTTTCTGGGCCTCTGGAGCCTTTTCATCTGTTTTACTTTCTTTGTGCAGCTCTGTTGACAAATCTTTCAGTTCTTTATGTAGATGTGGCTCTCCAGTGAAATCAAAATCTGCTTTTATAGAATTCCTGTCTTCTTTCTTCTGTGGACTGGCATCTAAGGTCTGTCCTGACAGGGTTGGGAGCATTTTTTCTTCTCCTTTGCCTTGTGATTCTGTTGTTTCTAAAGTCTCGGTTTTTGCTGGCTGTTGAACTAAGGCATCGTGTATAGGTTGCTCACTAGTCATACTTCCTTTCTCTGGTTCCTTTGGGCCTAATGGCTCAGCAGCAAAAAGGCCTGTATGCTCCTCATGGATTTCCATCTTCGAAGCTGCAAGTAAATCTGTAGTTGTTTGATTGGATTTTACAACAGATTACTTAAAGCATTCACAGGCAGCAGCAGACTAGTTTACAGCATTATTTGGCATGGCAGAGTGGTTAAAAAAGGGGGGGCCACATGCAATGGTACCTTTTTAGAGGTCTTTTTTAAACAGATGGTTTTTCTCTCTTTTAGAGGGACAAATCTTTATTTAAAGTATTAATAATAACTCCTGTGATACACGCAAACCTACCTATAGTTTAATGACAAATTATTATGCTTTTAAAATCATAGGCCAGTTTCCTCACAAGCATTACACTACAGATAAACCCAACTTCATCTTATTACGCTTTATGGTACAATGGGTGATATCCAATGTCAGTCATCCTCAGAATAGACCCACTGAAATCAGTTAAATAACTTAAATCTATTGATTTCAACAGGCCTTCTCTGCCTGACAATGGATATCACTCAATGATATAAATTCTGAATTACAGTCATACATAGGCATAATATTTGTGATAGGCTGCACATTATATTTAACATTCAAACCTCTAAATCCATTTAATGATATGATTCCTTTTATTTGAGCTCAATCAAATAATAGTTACAAAGCAATTTATTCACCAATTTTCAGTTATTACAGGAGGAACATTCCCCCCCTTCATATATTTTTAATAATCAGATTACTGTCATTAAAGACATTAAATACTGTCTTCGAAATCCAGATGTTAATATAAATGTGAAGATCTACCACTGATTCAAAACAAAATCAGTGCCACTGCAGCTTCCAGCACATTGCTGAAAAGCTCAAGCCTTAGATTTTCTTATTTAAAACTCATGGAAATTGTAATTCTTCATTTGCCTATATCCTTTGGTAACATTTTATATAGTGATGCCTTTCCTAAACATTATATGCCATGCTTAATAAGACTTTGTTTCCTCAGACAATTACAGGGCCTGCATAATGCAATCTACAACATCATATTACAATCATAGTTACACATGTCTTTAAAAATGTCCTGAAAAATCTTGGCAAAATTCTGTATTCTCAACATATATAATTATTTCAGTGGGAACCATTTCAGCTCAGCATACAGCACAATTTTTATCCCACTTGTTTCAAAAGAAATCAGTTTCAAAAGGAATAAACATTAACACTGCAATCCTGTGCACACTTGCTTGTGAGTAAACCCCACTGAATTCAGCAAGCTTACTTCTGAGTAAGCATGTCTAGGATTCAGCTGCAAAGTATATATTGTTCTTGGTATCCTTCTAAACCCAGGAACAGGAAATTGAAAAACAATTCATCCCGATCAACAGTCCCATAAAAGGTAAAGGGACCCCTGACCATTAAGTCCAGTCGTGACCGACTCTGGGGTTGCGCGCTCATCTAGCTCTATAGGCCGAGGGAGCCGGCGTTTGTCCGCAGACAGCTTCCGGGTCATGTGGCCAGCATGTCTAAGCCACTTCTGGCGAACCAGAGCAGCACATGGAAAGGCCGTTTACCTTCCCGATGGAAGGTAAATAGATAAATAGGGACTATTTATCTACTTGCACTTTGACGTGCTTTCGAACTGCTAGGTTAGCAGGAGCAGGGACCAAACAATGGGAGCTCACCCCGTCGCGGGCATTCAAACTGCCGACCTTCTGATCGGCAAGTCCTAGGCTCTGTGGTTTAACCCACAGCGCCACCCACGTCCCTCAACAGTCACATATTTCTATGGAAATATTTGGTATTGCTTCATTCCCCACAAATGATCATTTTGCAACACTGCCACTATTTTTAATGATCACATTCTTACATCAGATTAGGCACTGTGAGAGACTGAGATAAACCTGTTAAGAACTGTGATCCACACTATGGCTGTGATCCAGAGAACCTGTTCCAAATTGGGAAACAGCTGTCCTTTAGCAGAGCAGTTGTTTCATTTGAACAAGCTTGGAAGCCCCTAATCCCCCTAGCTAAGTGCACTATATGCTTCACAGTTCATATAAATCCCCTTGCTTGGAAACACCTTCATCCCAAATTCTGGCTCTAAAAGCAGCCAGCCTGGTGCCTCTGGAAGCTCACAAGCCAGGCATCATGGTGATGGTGCTCAGCACCTGATGAACAAAGGTATGCTGTCTTTGGAGGGCTAACTTTTAGCTACCACAGCTAGTTGCCACTGAGCAACCTGCTCTCTCTGAACAGGCTTATATGCGGGGAGGAAGCCATCCAAGACAATGGTCCTCATCATATTTTGTGTTAGTTAATTCTGTAAATTATGATTCCGACAAAGGACTACAGTTGTGTAATTTGACCTTAAACTGCTGCTCATTTAACGTCTCTGGTCGATTTTAATGTGAAAGAGAGGATCGTTTCTCTCTACTCAAGTTCTCTTAGTTTGTGTTTAATGCTGTATACATCTATCAAGTCTAGCCTCCATCTCTTAAGTATTTTCTAAATAGATAGATAGATAGATAGCACAGGTAAGAGCTCATCTTACATGAGGATTACATTTCTGGCTATTGCACATATAAGCAAAATTGCACAAAGCCAGAATGACCCCACACCACAAATGGCCCCATGTGAGCATCCCTACTTGTTTGAAGCCAATGTTGAGTGGGCCTTACACTCTGCCCCCTCCCCATGAAAGATTTTAAGCTCCCCGCCTTGTATTCTGGGTTCTGGGAAAGCCCTGCAAGTCTCCTACAGGATCTTGTGGGAGCCTTCTCATGAACTTTCTGAGCCCAGCAAGCAAGGCAGGTGGGTTAAAAAGCTCTTTCCATGGTGTGAAAACAAGGAGAGGTTGTTTTGTCTAGCAATAGACATTATTGTACTGATGGAACAGTACTAATAATATGACATTGAATTCCTTCCTATGTGCCCTGACTTAAGGATTTTTACAGGTGAAACTATACTCATTCCTAAGGCAGAATATTGGGCCACTATTTATTTACTTCATCGTAAAAGTTGTCATTTTATTCCTGCCCTCTAGGAACTCTTTTTCAACCAGTTACTGGTCAATTAAAGAATTCATCTTTTTAGTCTATGACTTAAGTTTTAATGGGAGTTATTTGTGAGAGATTTTGACAGAAATAATGTTATATGTACTGTGTATCAGATCACCCATAAAAAGGATCTTCTGTGATTTTTTAAAAAAGTGTGAATAGCAGCTGTTGAGAGGATCTTCAAGTTGAGACCCCTGACTCCAATAGGTGCTATCTGACCTGCAGGGAAACAGCTTGGAAAGGGGTGGGGTTTGATAGGAATTATATCAGAGTGAAGTTCCACTGCTGCAATCCCAATCCAATCCTTCCCCACAGCTCCCATTGCTATTAACACTTCTATATCTAGTTTAGATTGGTACTACAGAACGTATGCTGACATCCTCGTCTAAAAGGTCATATAGGCTAAGCTGAATTTTCTTCAGCAACTTTTATTCTTAGTGTTCAATCATTTCACTTGTAATCAAACTTTCCACAAATATTCCATTAAAAGTTAGACTGACTTCTGGTCCGATTATTTGTGGAAGTGCTTGAGAATATGAGTACACTCTGGATCACAGCCTAATCTGGTTAACAGGGTTAACAGATTTCATTAGGAGGTCAAACTCTGAACTTGTATTTAGTTTTTCCTCAAGTAGAAGAGCTTCATTATGATTTGTTTGACTTAGTAACACAGGATTTCACCCTCAATGTCTAATCTTGCTCTTCATTCTGGTTTCCAAAATATCACGGGAATCCATGCAAATTTTCTTCCCGCACTGGGTTTTCAATTTTCAGCATCAACTTGTAAGAAAGGTAACAAAGGTGAAAACAAAAAATTCTGGCAATGGCTAAGGAGGGTCAAGGTGGACTGCAATGAATGGCAAAGATATGACATAAGCAGCAGCAGCCTTGGAGAAATTGAGCCAGAATGTACTGAAGCACAAGCAAAAATGCACTGCACACTGCAAACAAAAGACATCGGTACAATTTAAGCCTCTTTATGTCATAGTCAAGGTTAATCAGCTGGTTTCTTGAAATGAAAAGCAGATGAACCTCTGCATCAAAAACAAAAAGTAAAAAATATATACACAGATCAGCAATGTGACTGGCAAACACATCTGCGATGAAGAGGGAGGGAAGGCTTTGTGATATATCAGCTTGGCTGCATAGCATACTGTGTCATGGTTAGGGGGGGAAAGTCAGGAATCAGCTGCAGTGGTGGGAAACCATGTCATCATCACACAGCATTTGCACAGTTGGCTTGCCTGTTATGCACTCCTCAAAGCATAATAACAAGAGCATTAATCATGAGGGTATTAAATGGGGAAGAGAGTAAATGGAGCAGAGTGGAGGAAGCTTGAGAACAGCTCAAATGCAGCCAACACATGCAGGTCCCTAAGGAGGACACACCTTCCTCACCCAAGGAAGGCATTTTGGCTTTCAAGGGTTCCTCCTCAACTAGGGTGACATTTTCCCCATTAGGTGCCACTTGGTCTTCAGAAATGGAGTCCTGCTGGGCCTCTTGGGAGCCCTCTGCCTGTTGCAAAGGCCCAGCAGGATCACTCATTTTCTCACATTCCTCACCAAGCGGAACAGCAGATTTGGGTTCATCAGCCACTGGACCTTTAACTGTGTCTTCTTCTTCTTCTTCTTCTTCTTTGACAGAACAGAAGGGGGAAAGGATGGAAAAATGAGGCGACACCAAGACACACACACACAAGATGCACACATTAAACTGGTTGCCCATGTACAACATTTTCAGCTCTGCACAGAATTTATACATTTGTGTCACCTTAGCTGTTACCGCATTTTTAGTACCATGAAGCAGAGTGAGCTTGCATTATTATTTTTTTAATTGTTATGGCTGACAATGCCATTTGTAATGCTGAATGTCTTCTTTTTTGTGATGAAAATTGGTCTGATTCAAACATCATACGTTCTTGACTGTCAAACCATGGTTTGGTAAACAGCTTCCATGCTCCTTTCCCTCATACTTCTCCCTCCCTTCTCTAGTTAGAGTTAGCAGTGGTTCACTGTTTATATCTGAACTGGAATAGTTACAATAACCGCTAACCATAATTAGCTTTAGAACCAGAGACAACTTTCTAATCCTGGTCTCAATTTCTAGTTTAGAATCTAACTATGGGTAGTGTTACCTATGGCTATGTCAATTCAGTCTTGATGCTAACCAAGGAAGGAAAAGGAAAGGGGTGTGTGAAGCTGAAAAGAAAGAAAGAGGAGATAAGGCCAGGAGTCTGCAAACCTGCAGAGCACTCCTAATTGCCAAATGGTATGCATAGCCCATGCTTCTGGGGCAAGCCACAGTAATAAAATAAAGCTGAAAATGTTTTATTGTTCCCAAGGTGGAAATGACTGTAGGAAAGAAATTGTTATCTATGATAATGGAGATGTGTGGTGGTGATTGATGGTTTTGAAAAAGACTAATAAATAGTCAAACAAAATACATTGCCCTTTTGATTACTGTAATATGCATTACATTGGGCTGCATCTGAAATCACTAGAAAATGTAACTAGTTTGTTTTAAGGCTCAATCTAAGGTTTTGGTTTTGACTTTTAAAGCTCTGTGTAGCCTGGGACTGGGATGCCTCAAACCACCTTCTTTAGAATGAACCGACTCGTGAACAAAGGTCATCTCCAGAGGCTCCATGTCTCTCCCCCCCCCGGTCTTCTAATGGATAATGCCTATTCAGGAAAGGGCCTTCTCAATATTGGTGCCTAGAATACAACTCCTCCCAGAGGGAAACTTGCTTGGCTCCTGTGATAATGGTTGCTTTCTTGCTGCTTTGGCATTGGCTTTATTGCTTATGTTGCTATTTTATTGCTGTTTTATGTTTTGATAACTCCTTTTAAACTGCTGTTTAAAATCACTTTGTGGATCCTGGTGGATGGAAAGGTGAGGTACAAATATTTTAAATTAAATAGAATAAACACATATTCGCCTGGTGCTTAAAAATACTCAAACCCATTCTGCCCTTGTGAAGTAACAATACTGTAGCATTGAATAAGCTACAACCCTAGTCATAGTGACCCAGGGGTAAGCCCCATTCAACTCAATACATGAGTAGGTATGAATAGGGTTGCTTTGTAAATCATCGAAACATGCATTCTTATTTGGCACAGGAGGCAGCAATGTGAGAAGTTGTGGCTCTCTCTAGAGACAGATCATTGCCACACCTTTAGGGCTCAGTTTAGAGGCTTTGCATGCACTGCTGTGCACTCAACAAGCTTACCTTCAATTCAGCAATATACAATTCAGCAAGTTATTTAAACCATAGATGTACTACAAAGGAATTCAGGAAGAATAAAAGAAGAGATTTTTCATAACCAAAGAAAACCTAAAAAGGAAATTGATTTCGCTTGTATTAGCTCATGAAGTATTTTCTGCCACCCTTTGCATAATGATAAAGGCTCTTTGCAGGATGGACTCTATACTTAAGATTGAGCAGAACTACACGGGATATACAGAATTGTCCTCATTTTGCCAGTTAGAACTTCATTGGAGGCAGAGCTCCATGCTGTGAAAAAGGAACAAGGAACAAAGCAGTTCTGTCTAAGGGAAGCCCTTATAGGTGCTGATCAGCATGCTAAGACAAGTACAGAATACAATGCAAAATGACAAAAATGAAGCTTGATAGCCTGCCTTGTTAACATAAATGTGGTTTGAAGAAGCCACTGTCTGCTGCGTTCAGATGTAGTAACAAACCATGATTTGTTCCCCCAAAGCAACAGAATATCTTCCCTTTGCACATGGAATGGGGAACATGCAAGCCATGGCTTATTCGTTGTTATGTCCAAAGTGGGTGACTATAGAGCACCACAGGTGAACTCTGGAGCCGGGTCTTGCAAAATCTATGTTGGAACATTGCTGTTGGCATTGGTATGTCTTGAGGCAATGGAGTGCACCTCCGGGGGTGTTACCAGGACCAAAATGACCTCCCTGGGGTATAAGCCTGGCAAGTGTGTATGGAGGCCCCAGGCTGTCCAGATAACAAGACACTCAGGTGGGCCTCACTGATGTGGTCCAAAGGAAAGCAGAGCGATATGTTTGGCACCAGCTTGGCTGCAGGAGTTCCTGGAAGGAGGCATACAAGGTACCATCCAACCATCTTAGGGACTCTAGTCCAGATTTGTGTAAGATTTACTCCTTAACCTTGCACTATTAATTTAAATGGAATCTCTCTCCAACTTTTCTTTTAAATTTCAGAAAGTCAAAAGTAATTATACTTGTCAAAGTCTCCTTGATTTTGTCTATTTCTTGATTTTGTCTATTTCTTTAAATGATGTTATTTCTTCAAATAATGTTTGAATATGTAATACAAGTCTGTTTTAGCTAGACAAAATTATATTAACCCACTCCACTAAAGCAAAATCCATAGATCACCCCAGAAATAAATTCAGAAATGTCCCAAAATTTGTCCTGGTCAGTTTCACTTGCCAGGAGAAAAATGCTATGTTTTGAGCCCCACTCCTTGAGACTGGAATCACAGGGTGTGGTGTTTCAACAATCTGTCCCCATCAATGATACACTACTGTATTTGAAAGAACTATGGAGCAGCAAGGAGATTTTAATGTTGTAAGTGCCTAAACTTTTTGAATGGGGCATAGAATGCAATCCAAAGAGCCAGACAAGTAACTCCACATCTCCACTCCACAATGTACTGCAAAGAAACCTATTTTGGAAAATGAAGAGACTTTCAAAAGCCATTTGTGGTGTGTCATGGAGGTCTGCTGTTCAAAGAAAAAAAAAAGGGGGGGAGCACACAAAAAAACCATGATGGACATGAGGTTGTAGCAAAAGCTGCCAAGCCAAGCTTAAAATAGCCTTTCCCTTTGATTCTGGTCTCAGACCTGAAGACCCTGAGAAGGTAGAGGATAAAACTCTGAAACTTTAGGACTAAACCTGACACCTGACAGCCCTGGACACAAATGATGAAATGAATGTGGCATGGCAGGGTAGAGGAGAGGAGGAAGAGTGGGACCATGCTTTGTTCACCTTCTTCATAGCCTAAAAAGGCCTCTGCACTCTGGGCTGTGGCACTGGGAGGTCCACTAGCTTCAGTCCATTCGGAGCTGAACAAAGGGTGTTCATAGTACTCCTCATCTGAATTGTAGGGCTCATCATCAGGCACAGACACTGAAATGGAAGGGGCAAGGAACTTACGCCTCTCCCCTGTGGCAGCTGGCCCATGCCATGAGCTGCTGCGAAGAGGTCCCACCTCATCCTCAGCTCCTTCATCTACAGACAGACACACAGGAAGAAACTGCACAGAGAACTTGAAGAGACAGAAGGACATAACACAAGACAGAATGGAAACAGGCAGACACGTACTGCACACTGATGCAACATCATGGGATGAAAGGAAACAACCATGCTAAGCTCAATGTCATCTCAAAGGCACAATACACACATTTAATGCATTGGTCAACTTGAATGCATTTATTATGTTTTCTGTGGTGCCTACAGGAAGAGTAGTCCATGTCTTTCCACAATGCAAATGAACCCAATAGCCAAAACAAGCACTTTGTTCCAAACACCTAAGTGATTAAGGATATTCTAGATATGAGTCTAGGGCAAATTTGCCACAGTATGTGTCAGAACCACATTATATAGTAAAAGTAAAAGAAACTGGGACAAAACTAGACATTCATCAGCAAGCAAGGCAGAATAAAAGAGGTCTCCCCTCCATAAAGCAAGCAAACAAACAAAAAACCAAATCCAGAAGAATCTTTTTATGATTTGTTGAAATATGGGTTTGAAACTTTTGGGTATCATTTCATCATCCCATCAGTAAGCAAAAATGTTGTCTAATCACCAAAGAATAATGAAGTTAATATATGCAGCCAGGGCATGTTTGCAATCCAAGGAAACAAACATCACTGCTTGCCCTCTCTTAGGAAACTTCTCCAACCTACCACCTCAGGCCAAAGTATAGTGATAGGAACAATCACATATGTCTGTTCCCAAGTTTGCCCATTTGGTCATGTGAGTTTGGTGAGTATGCGGGCTACAGTGCTTGCAAATGAGGCGCATGTTGGTGATGGGAACAAGATCCTTTCCTTGTTTTACCTTTCTGTGCTCCATCACTTCAGCCATACCTCTCCCCATCCTGGTTCAATTCCAGTTGAGTTTCCATCACTCGTATAGCTCTCTGGTGCAAAGCTTTGACTTCCACCCATTACTTTATATTTGTACAGGCAGACATCTGAACAGCAAATGTAACTGCATCCATCACATCAGGTATGGCCCCTAGGAGTATCTTTTTAAAGAGTTGCTCTTATAATCAGACCCTGCACCTTCCTCTACTGAATGATAACTTTATGTACTGCAGACACATACCATATAGGGGTTCCTACTTATTCCAGACTATTATCCCAGACTATTATAACCCAAGAACTGTCTTAGCCACTGACAAAAAACAGGCAGTATATAAGGAGCCACAAATGAATTCTTTTTCTTTTAAGATAACAAACAAATTCACTTCAACAAAGAGGTTAAGCATCACAATCTCCTCTTACTGAACAGTGGTACAAGTAAACTCATTATGTCACGCTTTGCTTTTGGGAAGACTAGAAACAAAGTTAAAGCTTGACTAAGCATCCACAAAGCTTGAAAGTTGGTATCTGGTTGAATGCTG